TTCCATACTATTACAGCGAGGACATGGTAGAATTTTGTCTGGCTTCTTGAGGACCTTCTCTGGTACAGAGCCATCAGCCTCACTCTTAGCGTGTTCAGTTTTAGCTTTTGCTGCTTCTTTTTCAGCTTCAACGGATGTTTTATGGTCATCTTCATTGCCACTGGTCAAACCAGATAAACTAATTGGGTCACCTTCATTCTCTTCTTCAGTTGATATAGAAGAATCATTGTTGACTTCCATATTTGTTACTCCCTTTGATGAATTCTGAAATATAAGACCAAAACAAGATAATTAAACACTTGTCATGCATTACAGGTTAGAAGCATAATCCAGTTAATGCATCAATGTTAAAAGTTTAAACTACAATGAAAAGTAAACACTCCTAAATGACAAATATTACCCCATATACAGTACAATTTCTTTTTAGTTCCAATCAAGAATGGAATAAGGAAAGAACTGCTTGGAATGGAAAGGAGATCCTGGATGCACTCATCAGCTGAGGTGAGTTAACTGATATTAGTCGAAAAACCTAAGAAGACTTTCTTAGGAATAGTTGAAGAGAATGGATGGTTCTTATTAAAAAATGTGATCTGTCACTCAACAAAGCTAAATGGTGGGAAAAGATCCATGCAGTCAACCTCAAATAGTTGGGACCTTTACAGACAATCTATTTGCTACATGGCCTCTGCTACAGTTAAATTCTCTTACCTTGCAAACTTAGACTTCTTCTTTACATGAATAGAATTCTATGAATGTTTTCCCTTTTGCTAGATAATATGAATTTAAGAATCATATGCATTCCTCTTATCCCCCTTTCACATGTACATGACTGATCATTTTCGTTATTCTACTTTGTTGGACCCCTCTGCAGAGTATGACATGAATCTGCACAGTACAATTTATATGGAATTGTTTCATTACTTTTTCTTTCTTGATTTCGCAAAACTGATTGCTGATCCACCTGTATTAACTGAGATCCAAGAAACCCCCCCAAAAAGGAATAAATCATCAAGAATAACCAAAGACTCGATTTTTTCCACCTGCTGGAGATTTCGGGAAAACGAAGATCAAAGTATTCAGCAGAACAAAACAACGTCATCTTTTTACTTTCCTCATAACACCAACTATTATAATCACTCAATGAGCAAAAGAAATTAAGATGAACGAAACAGAAAGCTTAAACCACATTAAGTTGCTATGCCATGTAATTCTGGACAATGATGTCAGCAATATATTTGAAGTCACACCATCCATGAAATTTCCGAGTAAGAGAAGTCCAGAGTGTGATGCAAGGTCGTCAATCTTCTCATGTAACATCAGTAAGCTTACTCAACAAAATGAATCCAAATTACTTGTAGCTGTAAAAGGAGAAAAATCACCCATACGGCAAAACAAGCGAAAAAAGAGACGACCTTTCGCCGACCCCGACAAGATTCATAGAGGAAATACTACGAAAAACGAAGAGCACGGATCGAGAAAAGAGGAGAGGTGGGCTTCTCTTCTCACCTGCTGCGTCTCCGCCTCCGCTTCCTCGACATCGGGCTCCTCATCAGCCGCCGCGGCCATGGGGATGGTGGTCCCGAATAGCTTGATGGCGGGGTCCCCAGGCTCGGACATGTTCTCTGCGCCGTCCGATCGATTTCCGAGAGGGAATCGAAGAGCATCTCCGCCTTCTCCTCGCTGTTTTGCCCGAGAGAGAAGTAGCAATTTATTGTCTGTTTGTTTCAAGAAGGGGGGGTTTTTATTGCCGATTTCCATCGGAAGGAAGGAGGAGGGGGGAGACCGGGAGCAGCCGGTGACCGAGTGCCAGGTAAGCGTCGGAGTCAACGACGGGAGGCATTCCGAGCCACTAATTCTCGTGGTTGTGGATTAAGGAGGCTGACGTCAGCCAGAGAAAAAGGAAAAGGCCACCAGAAGTCGACCAGGAAAAATGATACAGCTTTTCAGGGGTCGGGCCTTTTTATCCTTGCAAAGTACCAAGAAGACCCTCGTCATTAGAGATAATTACGACAGCATGTTGTTTTTTTCTCTCTTTTTCAAATTTATATTATATAAATTGGTAATTTCGAAAATCTAGTGGATTCTGAAATCATGTCAAAAAATAAAAATAAAAATATAATCTTTTTAGGTTTTAAAATATAAAGTTATTTATCATGTATTCTTTGTTTTGTCAATATCTTATATTATTATTTTTGATATATACTCATGACCATATAATTATTTATAATTAGAAAAATATTGAACTATTGATTTTATCATTATTCTTTATGTTATATCACACTTATCAAGTGTTAAAGTTATGCTCACTTGACAATTTTGTTCCATATTCTTCGTCATGCCTTGAAACAAGATCTTTTAGAAAAAAAAAGTACAATATCCTTATATAGACCTAACACACTTCTCATTTGATGGGTGGTATGATGGAGTATACTCGGTGCCTCGAGGCCTCGGATGCTCCAAATGCTTTTAGTTAAGATTGATGAATTGAGCTCTTTGGATCATTGCCATGCGTAAGTATAAGGAGGGTAGGAGATAAAGATGATGAGTTAGAAAAAAAAAAGAAAAAGAAGGATATCTTTTTCATATGTTGTTACTTCAATCCATTCAATTTAGATTGGATTGAATTGAATTGTGACAAACTACAACTAATAGATCTCAACCACATTCTGGAAACAAAAGTCATACAAAGAGACCTGCAGTTCATGTGGGCATCCATTCAACTTTTCTCTTTCTTGAAAAAGATAGCTTTGATAAGAATCTCTCTTCCCATGGTCTTTTTCCTTTTTCCCTTTTCCTTTGGAAACCATGAGATTGCTTTAACATACTCTGTAACATTCTTGTTTATTTTGTGAGCTACTTGTGGCTCTCATAATGCACCTTTTTTTAATGTCAACTTACCCTTTTTCTATTTACTTCTCCTAATAAGCTATTTGTGGCTTGAATAAGTGTTCGATATTATTAGGGTTGATAAGTATTTTTGATGTCTTAATAGTAATCATATTATTTTGAGAATCAAATTACTCGAGCGATAAGAAGATTTAAGCATGAAAAAAACAACTACAGAAATTAGGATTTTTACATAAGAGAAAATTTTTCATGATTCATATGAGAAGGTACATAAAGGACTTTGAACTTAAAGTTAAGCAAAGAACTCAATCATTTGTGTTTTGTTGTTCTTTCATTACTGATTCACATCACTTTGATAAAGAGAAGTGTGATAGAGAAGCACAAAAAAGAAAGAGTGTTTTGCAAGTTGTGGGAGTTAGATTGATTAATTCATTAAAGTTGTGCCCCACATAACTTTCAATTTGGAAGTCTTCTCTAATTAATTATTTTACATCATTTTCTTCTCCATTTTGGTACATTTGTTTGACTAGATTTATGTAGATGACTTTGGAGGGTAGGATAGGCTTCAAGCTGCCTTACACAACAAAGTGCAACATCTTGTGCAATGAGGATGACCCAACTCTATTAATTGGACAAGATCTTCCTTTAAATCTAGGCAACTTGAATAGAATCTATCTTGCAGTCCACGTGTCGAGTTGTCAGGGTGGAAAGAATCCACAACTTCATGTCCATCGCAAGAGAAGATACAGCTACTCCTTTCCTTTTGTTCAGTAGATGGATTGCAGAGAGAGCTCAACCAAAGGATCGATCGTTCTTGGAGCCTCCGTACTTTGATCCAAGCGTAGATCAAGCTTGCTCTCCTCATTCTTGTCAAAAGCATTTACAATATGTAGGAGAAGGAAGAACATATGTAACAAAAGGAGCTAAACTTCCTCAATTTTGAGCATTTTTATGGAGCCTTCTTCTAGCTTTAACATGGATGTGTAAAGGTAAGGCTCAAAGTCCTTAAGTGTTGTTGCCATGAGGGGAATGGAGCCACATGTCTCAGCTTTTCCTTCCTTTGCTTCATCACTATCTTGTAACATTTCGTGTAGCTGTGGCTTTCAGTTGGGCAGGCGAATGGCGAACTCGAAAGTGAAGGTGACACAAAGCATGCAAGCATTGTGGTTTGATGGAAGAAAAGAGCTGTAAAAGCAAATGGAAAGATATTGTACTTGGAATCTTTGATCATAGAAAAGAAAACAAGAAAGGGCAAAAAAGATTAGGATTTAGAGTTGCTTCCTTTGAGTGAATGGCACTTTACATGTTGTAAAGTGCTACAATATCATATTTATTCACAAGCATTTGTATGTATTTGTCTTTTTCTTTACGAGTATAAGGGACCATACTATCGACAGTCAAATTATTTACCAATTAAACTAGCTAACATCCTCGTTCGTACTAATTAAAATTATTTTATCATTTAATCTACTCATATTTGTCTTTCATCGGGATTATAATTTGGCTTCTAATGCACTTGGGAGACTAACTAGTAAGAGTTAAAAGAAGAAAAATAAATAAATCCAAGTAATTTACATCATTTAATTATGTCAGCAATAAGAAAAAAAAGAATAGATCAAATGAGGCACTACAAAAAATCTTCTCAAATCATACTTCAAAATAAGCCATTCAAGTTAATCTCTTTATGATGATGGTCGATTCCTCTCAACAACTTGTCACACACAATAATGCTGCATCAACCTCTACTAGTACATGAAGATTCTTCACTTCAAAAAAAAAAAAAAAATATATATATATATATATATATATATATATATACATACATGAAAAATCTGTGTGGGGATACTACTATTTTCATGTAAAGAATTTTATTCTTTACATGTATGAATGGTCTTTATCTTACAATTGTGTTATCAGCTTTCTATCATTTGTGTATATAATGCAAGTGGTATGTACATTAACCCATATTGGACACATATAACTTGGCCCTGCTTTAATTACTACTAGATTCTAGTATGAGTCATCCTAAAGCTTCATCATTAGTGGAACAAATTATGTTCATATATTCTATGCAGATTGCAGTGTCACCTATCATACAATTGCTATATATTACACTCATTTCATCAGCTTGGTTTTCTGTAGGAAGTATACTGCATTTATGGATCAGAAGCAGCCTCTGAATCATCTCTTCACACTGCTGCTGCTCCTTTCATGCCTTCTCTCCCTGGAAGCAGCTCCACTGTCAAGTACAGTTCTTCAAGGTTTCTTCTCACCTATGGAGCCACCCGAGTGCTGATCTCTTCTCTGGTTTGTGTTGCAGGAATCCTTGCATCAAGGAACCAAGACAGAGCAGTAATGAAGGCTGCAGTACAGGTTCTCTCATTAGAGCATTACACCTTTTTGTTCTTTGCAAAGCAGTGATCTTTGTGTAAGATTGATTCATTGAATTCTGTTTTCCTTGTGCAGGTGATTAACAAAGAGATGATAGTCACGGAAGGAGTTCCTGTGAGCGGGGCGATGGACATTGAACTCAATGACTACCCGGGTTCTGGAGCAAACAGCCACCATGATCCTAAGAACCCTAGAAAACCGTGAATCACACTCCCAGTGTGGAAGATGGATTGGCTTGTACTATTAGCCACCTAGTGCAGTAGCCTTGATGAGTTCATGTATTATGTATGATTAGTACTGGAGCAATGGTTTCAAAAAGTATTACAATGGTCTCTCTCTCTCTCTCTCTCATGCTTCAAACGTAGTGTGCTATAAGAAAGATGGATATATATTTCAAGACAGCGTTAACCAAGGAAAAAGCATGGGGTTCAACTCCAGAAGTGGCATCGAGATTGATACCATCACACTTGTCCCTGCGGAATAAGATGAATAGATAGAAGGAGAGATCAATGAAATCGAGGAAGGTGAAGTTTGGCAGATGTGCAACTCAAGAACTAGTCAGAGGAGGCAGGCAATTTAGAAGAGCATCTTCTGCGGGGAACATCGATCGTATACTGAGGAACAATCTTCCTCCTGATCTGGTTGTCCCCTTTCAGCCACTCCCACAGGCCTACATAAGTTCCATCTCTCACTCGGCGATGCCCCTCGTATCCCCTTCGCTTGTGTCATTACTCAAGTGAAGCATGGTGCTAAAGCCATCCTGCCTTGTGTCACGCACTACTCATCATGATCATCGTGAAAACAATCCAAAAACTATTTAGAATAAATCATTTTTAATCATACTGTCACAAAAGATCGTCTTTAACGAATTGTTCGTAGCTTTTGCATTGTACAAAGACATGATAATTTGTTTTGTGTTGGTTTTATATGTTTTTGTTTGTAAAAATATATGTTCGAACATGTTACAACGCTACAGTATGATCGCTCATCGCGTAGATTCGAAATGCCCCAAAATGACTTCGTTTTCATGTGCCACGGTTTGTTTTTTGCAAGCCGCAGTTGCACACCTAAACGTTAGCCATCTCAGCAACTTGGAACTCTCCGAATAGTATAGGGCTGGATGGGGCTTCGGTATATTGTCGGACATTGAAAAATCTTCACAAGTTTGCACGTTAACTTGACGAGAACTTGCCTTCGCGCCCAGCACCCGGTGAGCAGTTGTTTGTGGACTTGTAATTGTTTGTTCTACCTTCTAAAGTTCTTATTTTCCTCATTCCCCTCTTTTCTCTTATGCACGCAAGGTGCTCGCTGAATTGCTTATAAAGTTTCCTTTTCCGCAAGACGTCAGGACTTGTCTATCGCTCGTTTTCGAACTAATCAACTTTCTCTTTTACAGGTTCTTCGGGACCTGAGTGAGGTTACAAATTGACTGACCCTTTGCAAACGCATATCGCAAAGGCGTGCCACAACTTAGGCAATCCTAGCTAAGTCCAAGAAGTTGGCACGAAGGTACTTCGCGATTTAGGCAACTCAAGCTAAGTTTACGATTTTACCGTAAGGATACCTCATGACTTAAACAATTCTAACTAAGTCCATGACAATACAAGTGATAAGTGATAAGCGACTTACAAGAACGACCGAAGCATGGTGCAACACCGTCCTCTTACAGAAGAGCCTCATCCAATCCCATACCACTCGGGTTCTAAAGTGAGATTTGTAGGATGATGAGATTGGTTGATGTTTTGCTTACTCACTGTGGTCGTCAGTTGCCATGGCCCAAAAACGTCCTTCGTCCTTCATCCTGGTGCTGTGGTTCATGTCCTTTTACGGGTGCTTCGATCCACGAAGGAAACCACAAGAGCAGATCAAAACAGAGGAGGAGACCCAGCAGGGATCCTTGTTCCTCTGCTTGAATCAAATTTCATAATAAAAGAGGCTAAATAAGGAGATTAAGCAATTATGCAAATCTTTAAGATCTTGTAAGAAACATGGTGGTGTCATAAGATAGATGCATTAATATTTAGCCAGTACAATAACCAAGCTGAAAGCATGGAGATCAACTCCCCGAAGTAGTGGCATAGCACCACAATAACATAGCAAAGAGGGACACAGAGGCCCTAAAGCACAGCTTATTCTTGGAAACACGTCTACTAGCTGGTAAATGCTGTGCAGAGCAGCAAACCGAGACCAAGAGATTGCGATTGATGCCACCATCGCATTGTTCCTGCAGCAGCACAAGATGGATGGTTAGAAGCTGAGATCAATATGGAAGAAGGTGAGGTCGATGCAAAAGCTCAAAATAGAATCGGTGTTGGCTCCACTTCTGTCTTGAGCTGAGACACACATGCTTGAGGAAGACACTAGTGCTACAAGAAGTCTTAAGAGGAACTACTACTTACAATAAGGAACGATCTTCCACCTCTGGTTGTCCCCTTTGAGCCACTCCCACAGCACAATAGTGGTTCCATCCCTCACTCCACCATGGTCCTTGTCTCCATGGAAGGCATCAAAGTTCAAGCGGATGTTGTTCACCATCCTGATGCACCTGTACCCCTCACCGGTGTCATTACTCTCAGACCACAGAACGGACTCATCGAGGTACTCTGGGTTGTATGGAACCAGTCGGATCTGAGACACACAAATACCAGGAATGAAGTGAGGAATTAGCAATTCAAGTGGTGTTTCAGCTGCTGAACTCACTGGATTCGTAGCTCCGATGGAGTGCTTGATAGCTTCGCCGGTCACTTTGTTGACGAGAGCAAAGCTTGGGAAACCTTCTTCGTCCTTCACCTCGGTCCCGTACCTCATGTCCTTGTACCAACGCTGCAATCCAAAAGAACAAACGAAGTGAGACAACAGCCAAAAATCTCGCCACGAAATCCAAGAGAAGACTTGTCACGGATCAATCTTGCCTGGTAGTCATCGTTGGGATCAGTGGGTGCAAGCACCACTCTTCCATCACGGACGGTGAGGGAGTAATCCGGCCCTGCCTTGGTCAAGATCCGAACAGTACGCTGTGGCGGCCTGCCGCCGGCGTAGTTGGTGGGGGGAGGAGGGTCGGAGGCTGCACGGTATACCAAACAATACTGAACAAAGAGCAGCTAAATATGCTCGATCTACTTCATTCTTAGCACAGAAATCAAAGCCATGGAAATTGATCAGCGAAGCTGATTGCTGCCTCTACTTCCGTGGAGAAATTGAGATCAATCAAGGACAAAATTCTTAGCAGATGCTGCAGCAAGAGCTCAAAGTTTCTCCTTTTTGAGGTAGAACTTACATTGGGGTTCGATCTTCCACCGCTGGTTGTCCCCTTTGAGCCACTCCCACAGCACCACCGTGGTTCCGTCTCGCACTCCTCCGTGGTCCTTGTCTCCATGGAAAGCATCAAAGTTCAAGCGGATGTTGTTCACCATCCTGATGCACCTGTAGCCTTTGCCAGTGTCATTGCTCTCAGCCCACAGAACAGATTCATCCAGGTAATCCGGGTTGTAAGGAACCAGCCGGACCTGCAACGATCACAAATCGGGTGAAGGAAACATGAGAGCATCAGAAACGAGCGCAAGCTACACATACTGGATTTTGAGCTCCAAGGGAGTGCTTGATGGCTTCGCCAGTGACACTGTTGACGAGAGCAAAGCCGGGGAAGCCCTCTTCGTCCTTCACCCTGGTGCCATGCCTCATATCCTTGTACCAGTGCTGCAATCCACGAAGGAGGCAGTCATCGATGAGAAGGGGAAAGGCCAAAACAGAGGAAGGAGAGAGCGAGCAGGAATCCTTCCGCTTACCTGGTAGGGATCATCGGGATCATTAGGCGCGAGGATCACGCCGCCATCGCGGATGGAGAGGGAGTAGTTCGGGTCGGCCTTGGTGTAGACCCTCACCGTGCGCGGCGACGACCTGCCGCCTGCGCTCGAGCCGTGCTCCTCCCTGTGGTGGTGGTGGTGGTGGAAGAAGTGCGCCATGGTGGCAGTCTCTGTCCATGGCGTGGGTTATTATAGAGAAGTCGAGCAAACTTCTCATAAACACCCCTATCAATATCTATATTTCTAATTAACCCCTCTGATGAAACAAAACAATGTGCGCATCAAAAGGACACGCAATTCGGAGAACATTTTGATCTTTAAATTATTATTATTGTCCTATGTATATAAATATATATATATATACATATATATATATATATATATAACAAATGTGCGTGTTTGAGTGGGGGAGTATTATAAAATATATATATATATATATATATATATATATATTTATATATTAGAAAAAATTATGGCGGGGAAAGCGGAAGCTGTAGGTGACAGTGCCACGCGGCGTGAGTCAAAGTAGTGGATTGGGGTGGTTGATTCGTGTCGGTGCGCTCAGCGGGCATCCAATTTGTTACTGTTTTGCTTAGACGTGAAGGAAGAATGAGCGGTTGGTTGGTTTGTTGGTTGGTTGGTTAGGTGCGACCGATCATATTTTCCGAGAGAAATAAAATTAATATAAAAATAAAGATAATTAATTGAGGTAGATTTCATGCAATCCACTGTATCTTATTTATATTTGCACGGCAGACTCAAAATCTTCCCAATAGAACAGCAATCTTTTTAGTCAATTTAAATTTATATCCCAATATATCATATCTTTGAAGCATATATATATATATATTATTCTGACTGCTTTATTAAAATATTAGCATACATTGAATATTTAGATGGCAGCCGATTCTTTAACTTTAAAGGAGAAACTTTATTTTCTGATCAAATATAAAAACAGTTCCTAAAGCACATCATCAACGGTTGAAATCCTTTCATCAATTAGGAATCGGAAATGAGGAACGACTCCAAGCAGAACAGGATGAGAGCAGCCTCTGCTTCTGGCTGGACAATGCAGAGCGGCAGGCGTCTGCTGCTTCAAAGAAAGCTTCCGTTCTCCCTCCCTCGCAAGCGCATTTGTCGATAAAGGTCGGCGTCGTTCCGTATGGTCGGCTCCTGCTTTTGATGCAGACGGCTTTTGACGTTTCCGAGTGGGAGCATCTCATCGTCTCGTCCTTCCGATGCCATGTGTCTGTGCGGCATCAGCGTGTCTCTATAAGGCTGCGGTCGTGGAGGCCCCTCGCTGGACATCTGCTCCGCGGGGATGCTTTTGTCTACGCGAACCTCCCTGCTCTCGTTTATTCTCTCTCTCTCTCTCTCTCTCTCTCTCTCTATCTATCTAAATATATATATGTATATATATAGGATTAATCATGGTTTATTGTCACCTCCCTTTTACTTTCTTTACTCTGTGGAGAGACAAGTTTTCTCAGAATAGATCTATGCCACTGCTTCATACGAGCAAACCATGATACATTCTCAAGTCAAAAATTTTGATATTCTGTTACAGGATCAAAAAATATATAAATCTAATCTTAAATATATAATGATTTGATTTTAATTTTTAACATTAAATTTATTTCACACAACAGTTAGCATCAGAAAAATGATAAGCTTACCATCATCGATACATATTGTTGTTACAATTGCAGTTGCGATTGCCGCTGTAGATGATATTTTGCGACAGAAAAGATCGTAAATTTTAGTCGACCTTTGTGTTACAGTCCCATCCCTACCGAAACCAATAATACATCTCAAGAATCCGAAGACCAGAAATTAAAGAATGGCGAATCAACCCAGGGGCAGACTAGTTTGTGCCAAAACCCAACTGCTTGGCTTCCTCGCCTGACATTGATTGTCATAGCTCGATCGCAACCTTGGCTTCTCTTGATCCTCTTCCACAGCTGCAGTTGTAAAACATCTGGACTTTTGGTTTGCCCAGACACTAGAGTTAGCAATATTTAAAATCTAGTCAGCTGTACAAGGAGCTGCTGACATAGCCTTATAGTCCGAATCAAAGAATCCCATGATCGGGGAAGAAACTAGCAGCTACAACGACAGCTTTAGATATCGAATTCTCTAGATTCGATGCTTGAAATCCTTGAAGGACCAGTGCATTCCTGAGGATTGGCATAAAAGTAATCCTCCTCTTTTGGCCTCCCAGGAATCACTTTCCTTAGTGTTGGTTGACCCATTCGGTTCTTGTGCACTTCCTTAACTGCAGTTGAGAACTGATCCCATGATAGTTTCCCATTCTGGAGAAGATCCAAAAGCTCCACAATTTCTCTCCTATCCAACACAATTGTCCCGCGAAATCCGGCATACCTACACAGGAAGAAGAGAAACCTATAAGCACATATTTGAGCTGGATTTACACTGAAGAATGGATCTCTGGCAACGAATGTAATACACAAGATTTTAGTTTGTATATCTCGCTCCATAGGAGATGCATTAGGTAAAAAACATCTGCCAGACCTAGCAATTGCACCAGCTTCAACAAATAACAAGGTTTAATTCAGCAGAAGCCATCTGATAAGTCATCTCAAGTGAACCCCCAAATGTATAACATCATAGAAATATTTTCTGATCAAGATGAGGCATACTTGATATTTCTATTACTGAAAAGCAAGAATATTAAGAAAAATATCTAGACCAAGAAATCAGATCAAAACAGTTGAATCTAGAGAAGGAACCAACCTGCGATGTCCTTCTACAACTTTGGCCATATTCCCATCGTAAGTGGGGACAAAAACATCACTTGCAACAGATACCAGATAGTCCAACGCAGCCATCTGAGTTGAATGATTCTGAAAAGGCCTCAATTCCTCGGCACTGAGAAGCATCTCCTTCCTTACCTGAAGAGTTATATTGTCGATAAGAAAGTTATATTGATATTTCATTCAACTGTCTGAGAATAGAAGGCCTACAATTTTGGGATACGAAGCCCTCAAAGCAGCCATCCTTCTTTCACCACCATAGATTTCACCAGAGGCAATGTATATTAGGGAATCCCTTGTGAAGCCCAGAGCTCGTAGCACCAATGCTGTTTCTTCAGGCGTAAGGGGACACAAGCCTTCCAATCTTTTCTTTTCAGATACTATTTCCTTCTCTTTCCACCAGGGAAATGCATATCTTGAAGTTCAAAGGTCCCGACAGATACCTTTAGTAATTCAAAAACACATGCAGATGACAAAGAAATATAAAGGAAACAACTAAGCAAACCTCATCCTCGTTAGTTCTTCAGTTTCTTTGTCAGAGCATCCATGTGTACAACCAGAAAAGGACAGCATATCCATTTCATATCGCAGGTGAAGAACAACAAAGAAACCACTTCTCCGGAGAATTGAAATAAGCTTATCACCTAGGGCCTCAATTTCTGGTGTAAATCTTAATCCCTCATAATTAATGCGGCAACGAAGCTTTTGGAGTCGTAAAGGAAGTCCATTATTTGCGAGACGAGCATCGGTTCTATTAAAATGAATCACCTTGTGCTTCCTTACAAGTGGTAAAATCTGCAAACAAAACATTTGTTCAAAGATTGCATGCTTGGAATATCACGATACCCATAAAGAAAAATACTTCCTTTCTTAGCTAACCTGCTTCAAGTAGTACTTCTCACTAGACCAGCTGACTGGAGGCATCGTGAATGGTTCAGTGCGGATTTTACTGCTGAACTTTTTTGGGAGTGCTTTTATGATCTTAACTTCATCTCTCAAAGAATTAATAAAGTGATTTACATTGAATATATCACCAAAATCACTGCAAAAAATGCATGTATATTTCAAAAATATAACTTCAGAACAGAAGAAGTAAGCTGCGAGCTAGCAAAGAAGTCCATACCTAGGATCAGCCCAGAAAGATGTCTTGTCAAGTTCAGGGATTACTAGTGTTAGATTCAGATGACGTGCTATAGTAACCATATCACAGATCTGCAGGAACCAATAACAGTTATAACATAAGAGCAACTTCAGCAATATGAATTATGATGGCATTAATGAAAGACTAAATCAGCAGAAGAAATATAAAAAGATAACGATTTACACACCGCAGCTCGCATTTGATTTAGTCCCCCATTGCATGATACTTTAAGATAACCATTGCTTTTGTAAATTCCTAAACAAGGGTAAAATATGTTGTCAACATGTCAAAGTAAAATGTGACAAGAAAGAAAAGGAAAAAATAATTCTAGACAACAATATTTCAATAAACTACATACAGAGGATATGTATGTATCTGATGCAACAGAACAAAAAGATTCAATCACCAAAATTTAATTTGATTATGTCAAACTCATTTATTTCTCATACCACCACATTTGCTAGGATCTATGCATATGGTGGCACAATAAGTTCAATCTTGAATTATAGAAATGCCACTTTTGCTGTAGGCCTCTGCATCTTCATCTAAGAATCACTAATGTTTCTCCAACATTCAACTTTGTGATGTAAGTTCAAATGTCTAAACCTACCATTTAATCTGCACAGCCAAAATCAACATTTATTTCTTTCTAAGAAGACCTGCAACTGATCCAGCAATAAATTACTCTTCATGAGGATTAATCACTAAACTTCCATAATCAAAGGCTACTTATAAGATAACCAATGAGATTGTGAATCTAGAAAAAGGATGTAATAGAATATATTAAGAAAAAAAATATATCAATGCAAATAACAGCATCATTGTCTGAAAGAATAATTTGTATGCTATAGAAGTTCTTGGCACTTGAAAAGCATGTAGCAATGCTTTCTTGGCAAATTTTCAGAAATAAAAGAATAAAGCTTGGACCATAAGCAATTGTCATAACCCAAATGAGTAACAGCATAAATAACTAAGAGAAACCAATCGATAAACCCTTACTAGCTATCCATCGCATAGATAACCTAGTTTCTGTAATTGGAACTCCCAGATGGCCTCAAAACACCATTGAGAGTTTTGAAAGTCAAAAATGATAGAAAGGTCTACTTCTTTAGTATTATTACAGTAAATAAACTAAACGCAGTGTTACATATGGTATTTTGTTTACTAAGATGTCAGATTAGGATAAAGGCCTAATCAAGGTTTCAAATTCCAGTAGGACCGATATGTACATAGTACTGATCCGACCGATGACAGACACCCTCCATATAGCTTGTTAATGAACAGTATTCATTTATTGTTATGATTATTTTCAGCAATGCTATATAGTCAGATATATCTGTACCTTACTGGTCTGACAAAATGCACTGGTCTGACAAAATGCTGAAACCAATGCCAAATAAAGATTTTACAACTTGCTCATATCAGTGAATAAATCAAATTATACAATATTCTAGTAATAAACCAAAGGTTAAAGAAATGTCAGGATACTAATTTATTCTATTTAAATGTTATACAAAAAAAACATTGATTAAAATAGCATTGGATGTCCAAGTTACTTGATCTACACCTTGAAGATTTGATTTTTCTTGTAGAATAGATTTTCCACATGCATAATACGATAAAGTATTAGAACAACTTTCCTAAAGTCCATCAGATTATTGGTTCCCCTTTGCTTTTTGTTATGCTTCTCTATAACTTTCGAAACAGGAAAAAAAAAAAAAGAGTTTGCATAACAGCCTTCTGAGACTCTTCAAGTTTCGTCGAGTCCACTAAAATCTTTATCTCACTGCAAATTTCTTATAGTAGGAAGCTCCATCTTTATGTCCACTTGCAGCAGACATATGTGTGTGACTTGTGCTCCAGAAGGACTTGCAAGAGAAAGAAAGTTCAGGTGCTTGAATCTACTGGCATATTTCTAACCTAATCTCATCAACCATAAGTTAAACGATAGCATCGTATCCGTGCTCGATATTAATCCAATCATACGAATGCATTGACGACAACAAAAAAATTTAGAAACAAGGATTTCAAAGCGTAGGACGAAAAATATAGGCCACTGGTAGACATATTTTTCATCTCACATACAGGAAAGAACGGGCACTCTTCTGATGACAAGCTTCCAAGATCGTAAGAACAATACCTAAGACGGTGAATAAAAACGTAATTCGTGTTCCCAGTTAACAGACAGGTCATCCGTATTCAACTGAACCAAGAGATCAAACAGGCCGGCGCACTTTTAAGTCGAGGCAAGGGATCGAGAAAGCAGGCACCAAACGGATCAAACCACAACAAAGATGCAAGGTTGGAGAAAGAGAGAAGAGCAGGGAACGGGACTCACTCCGCGGAAGGAGGGCGGGCGGGGAGGAGCGGGACCCGGACAGACCGTGCTCCTCGCCACCGATGACGGAGAGGTCAACGGTGGCGTTGGCGCCGGCGCTTCGGCGGTCAAAGCAGGCGGCGGGCCACGACCTGGGGAGCCGCGGCTGCCACACCGACGTCAACTGCACGACCGCCGTCCAGATGAGGAAGCTGGACCCCACTCGCAACATCCACGTCCGCACCGCGGCCCTTCGCCACCCTCCTCCGCCGGAAGCCCTGCCCGCCGCCGGCGTGGGCTTCCGCGCCCTCGCCTCGTCCACCATCCACCGAACCCTCCCGAAGAACCACCAATCCCCCGACCAAATCCGCGACTGCATTCCGTTTGTAACACCAAATCAAAACCACGAACAAAGCGAATGAGAACAAAATAGCAACTCGACACTGATCTACGCAATTAAATCGCAATTAACATAAATTAAGATGAAAAGGGGAGAATGGTTTACCTTTTGAGAGAGAGGAACCGAAGAGGGGAGCGAAGTAGAAAGCGAAAGAGATAGGGGGGCGAGGGAGAGGAGATCGCGAATGCGATGGATTGCCAGCCCGTGATGGACTTCTTCTACTAAACACGGAGTTGGTAGAGAGTGGGAATTGGGAAGCGATGCCTCTTCTTCCCCTTCTTCCTCTCCTCCCCTTTTCCCCCCTTTCGGATTCTACTGCTACTGTTTTCTAGTTTGATTTAAGTTTCGGCGTTCGACAAGACGAGCTCGTCTCGTGACCGTTTCTTTGTATTCTGATGCAGTAGTCTTTGGGCCCTTCTGCAGGTTTTCGTTTTCGTTTTCGCTTTGCTTCCACCCTATCGTTTCATAATGTAGTTTTTACTTTGCTTGTCACTTTTCCTGCTTTAGCTATCTGCCCAATGCCTAATCCATAGAACCTTGAAAGCGTCTGCTATAGAGTCAATGAGCTTAATACCAATCCACTAAGATAGATCTTCCAGAAAGCCTATACCATAACTTGAATCAAAAGAATACCATAATTGACATGATAAGCCATCATTAATTGGAGAATTAATTTTTTTAGATATATATTTGAATTGATAAGCTCTTCCCTTTTTTTCTTATAGTCATGGCTTATATCTTCCGTTCGTCCTTTATTCTTAGGACGTACTGTCACGGACTTAGCTGGTTTTGCCTAAGTCGTACGGCACCCTTGCGTGTCCGTCCGCAAAGGTCAGCCTCCCCGAAGCCTCTCATTGTCCCTTAGGACCAACAAAAGAGAGAACGGGTTAGAGAGAACGCCTCAATCGGGATCCACAAGCAAACATATCTGAAAAACACTTCATAGATACTGCAAATTACAAATAGACTTTATAAGCTCTAAACAATTGCACAATAAAGGGTAAAATGGTCCATTACAGACCGAAAATCTCTCGCACGTGTTCACATGACATAACCTTTATTTACAAGTCTAAAGAGGCCACCAACCCAACTAAAATGGGACTATTAAGTCTTCGGTCACCCCTCTACATGCTGTACAAGGTATGAACATGCCAAAAGACATGGACATACATAAGCATTACATCAAACATCTTGTTTAGAAGTTTGTCCGTGACAATACGTCCCAAGAGAAATAGCTCTTTTGTCGATCCGCATACATTATAGAATTTACTCTTTACGATAATTCTATGGTGCAACGATGATTCATAACAAATGCAGCAAGTTTTATTGATCGAATTAGCATTTAGCCAACTCCAAACCAAAATGGGGCATGTTCTCCATTTTCTCCTTGAGATGGATGGGTTGGTTCTTTGGATTCCATCATGCTTTCTTGCTTTGAGAAGAGAATTATCTAAGCACTTGAAGGATTCACAACCTGACAAATACAACACATCATCCTCTGTTCTTCCTCTTTATGTTATCGTTTCATTTGGATCATCACAAGCGTCTCACATCATCTGTAGAAGGGACCAAAGACTACTGCATCAGAATACAAAGAAACGGTTACAATACGAGTCTGAACAAATCAAACAAGAAAACAGTAGCAGTAGAATACGAAAGGGGGAAAAGAGGAGCAGAGCAAGACGGGGAAGAGGCATTCACGATCTCCTTTCTCTCTCTCTCTTTTTCGTCTTCGACTTAGCTCTCCTCTTCGGTTCCTCTCTCTCTCAAGAGGTAAGTCATGCTCCTTCTTCTCGGTTCGTCTTAATTTGTGTTAATTCGATTTAATTGCGTAGATCAGTGTCAAGTTTCTCTTTTTGTTCTCATTCTTTTTGTTTGTGGTTTTGATTTTGGTGTTACAGACATAATGCAGTCGTGGATTTGGTCAGGGATCAGTGGTTCTTCGTGAGGGTTTGGTGGATTTGTTCGGGTCGGTAGCGTCTTGACTATTGGTTAGCCTTTTCTCGGAGCTCAGGTAGAGGCTAACATAATTAGTGCGTCAGCCTGGGTAATTTTTATGAGAGGAACTCATAATATGTTGAGTCGAGAGAAGCCTCGGGCTAACTATCGCACCTTAGTAAGGAATGTCGCTATGGTCCCATCTCGAGTTTCATAGCTCCTATCTACTTGACTCATGATCGGTTGTGAGTTATTAAACACCATCAAGTCTTGCACTTGGAGCTTCCGAATGAGTCGAAGCCTTGAAAGAAGTGCTTCATATTCAACTTTATTATTAGAGATTTTGAACTCAAAACAGAGAGTCTGTTCATATACCTATTTGTTCAAACATTTCAAGATAAGTCCGGCACTATCCCTTTCCGATGTGACGAAGTCATCTACTAATAAGATCTAGGTAGAGGGGGTGTGCTCACCGACTTCAATCTCAGGTGAGAGGGTTAGCTCCAGTATGAAATTCACTAATGCTTGAGTCTTGATGATAACTCTTGGTACACATCAAATGTTGAATTCATCCAGATACCCGTTCACCTCATGAGACATCAAATCACGAGAGAACCTAAAAAATTGGTCGATGATCACTTGCATGTGATGCGCTTGAAAATACAGACGAAGTTTTCTTATCGCAATACTAAAGCATCTCATACAAGTGATCACCGATTGACCAACTCAAGTAGGTTGATCCAAGCGGATCTCCCCTGAATTAAAAAAAAAAAAGACCTTTTTTTTTATTCGTTATTTTTTTAAAACTCCTTTATTTTTTTTTTAATTCAGGATATAGATGTCCCTATTTTCATTTTTCTTAGATGAAGCCCATATTTTTTCTATCGCCGTCACTCTATCAGGACGCCTCGAGACCCAACGTAGAGGTTTGTTTAGTGAAATCGCTCAATATAATTTAAATGTTTTATGATTAGTTTAAGTCTGTGGAAGGAGAGTGGCTGATGCCGATGGAAACGGGTATGCAGTCGATGGTTGGATGCAGACGTTTGATTCCATCTCGCAACGCGCGGAGGGGTTTCGAGGAGCAGATCACCGGTGTCTCGATATCATGTGGGGATTACGATCCTGGAGTCTGTTGATTCCAAGAAATGTGTGTGGGAGTTCAATCTGAGCCTTTCTCGAAGGACTTTCTTGAAGGGATTCGATTTGGTCCACATAGATGTTACTTGTAGCTCGTGTGATATGTGTTGTCTCCTATTTTTCCCCCTTTGTTTTCAGATGGATCTGAACGACATGAGGTGTGGCATGAGATACAGAGATTCCGCGAGGTTAAATAACAGGGACATTCATCATGACGAGGTGACCATTACGGCCTTATCTAAATTCCTTGTGCTGTAATTTTTGCAAATGGGATCGCAAATGTAATGGTCCTCGCCGAGATTCGTTTCTCCGAAAGCCCCAAGTTTGCCCTACTAATACATTGTTACGGGCATCGACTGCATGTCCATATTGGCCAATCCAAAGAACTTGGTATTGGAAATCAAATCATTGTGAGGTCTATATGAGTAACCAGCATATATGAAGTCAGATTTCAGAAGTAATGCAGCCTATGCTGGTAAGATCATGCATTTCCTATTCTCTATAGGCTCTTCGTTCATAGATTGATGGGCATAGCTGTGCAAATACATTCCAGTTTGCTGTGAGACCACCCAATTTTGTTTTTCACAACGAATCATTCATAAAAGTTGAACAAGTGGATGAAAACATTTTCACTGGAAGATGCAGAGCATACAAAAATTACTCTTATGGACTATATTATATTGAGCTCACATGCTTTTATCTCATGGTACAAAGACCTGGGTTCTTATAAGGTCTAAATGGAGGAATCAAACCAAGGTACTGTCCTTACTGTTGACCGTCGATCTGATGCTCATTGTGTGTATAATTTTTTTTGTCTTTTATGATTCTCAAGTTGACACCAATCTCAAACGCCAAATTTTCTTGTGTGACTGTTGTAAATGATTTGTACATATTTTTTATACCCAAAGGTTAGTTGTTTTTATTTTATGTAAAGGAAAAATGCAGCTGCAATGTTTATTCTAGATATAGTTATCAAATGAACTGTTTAATTTCCTTAATGTGTTTCATTTCTTTTGCACTATTAAAATCAAATATTCATGCAAATATTTTCAATTATATGGTTTCAAATGATTATTGAAAGTTACCACAAAAAAATTAGAAACAGTCTGTGGGTTTCACTTCAATATTCAGTTTGACAGGATGCTGTAGCTTTTTTTATGCCATTTTATGATCCTGAGTTTGCATCTCTTGTATGTTGCATATACTACTATTTGCTTTTTCATTATATAATTAACAAGAGAAATATCTCACAAGAGAGAACCTCGTTGATATGATTTTCTGCAGTCAGTACTCCAGCTATAGAGCATGGAGGATGGAGCCTCGTAAGTTGGTCTTAGCCTTAGGAGGCCAATGGCCGATCCAATTGTATATTTTTGGTCTGTCTAGATACAGCCTGTTTATATGCATTTATATGTATGTGTGCATATATATGTAGGTGACATGTAGATTAAGGGCATCTATTCTATCAATATTGTATCTGAGGCTTTATCTATCTTGTATTTGAGGGTTTATAGATCTTGCATATGGGGATTTGATAGAGTTTGTTATTCGTGTTCCATTCTTATATTGGATACCATATTTGACCTTGATGACTTCACCCATGGAATGGATGTAGATATATTAATTGAACCATATGAATCTACTACGTTGTTTGGTTATGATTATTTGTCTTTCTTTCCTCTTCTATGTCAGGGTATCTATTTTACTTGTTCTTGTTTTTGTGGGATTTCAGAGGACCTATTGTTGTTACATGAGACTCTTATGTTGGTGTGGGTTTCTAGTTCCACTTAATGAAGCTTTCTTCATTGTCTTCACTCATGGATGTAGGCCTTATCTGCTGAATCACATGAAGTCACTATGCCTGATCATGTGTGACCGTCTTTCTCTTTCTATGTTCTTCCCTAGCTCTGTTGTGAGCTTGATTTAGGTTCCTTGATGTACATGAAAGGGACCAGCATGAGAAGCTTCTGCCTCTCTTTGGACATTTTTCTGGGTTGCATCATTGGGCTTTATTCGTTTCCAATCTTTAAGAATCTTTCTTCCTTGTATCTTTGGATTTTGATCCTGTTGTGTTACAACTAACATTTTGAGTTACTGGCACTTAATGTGGAAATAATCCTATTCTTGAACAATTTTTCTTTAATCTTTGAAGGCAAGTAATGGTTTTTTCCTCTTGTTCTTCATGGGGTGAAAATCTTTGTTGGGAGTGCACATTGATGCTGTTTATTTATTTTGGAGGATATCATCACGTGTGATTGGAATTGTAGTTTGTGTTGCACC